AAATAATTTCCAGTTCTACCAGTGCTCTATTAAAGATGTAGGCTTTCATAAACTATTGGTGTGGTGAAATTGTTGCCTTTCTAGAAAGCCATTTAAAATTTATGTTCAAAATCCTGAAAAAAATGTTTATTCTTTGACTTCATTTTTAGAGAATTGTGTTCAGGGAAAAAAGTGATTAAAAGGTTTTTGTAGAACAGTGTTAGCTGGGTTTCTCTAATAGTCAAGGGAAAAGAATCTAGTAAAAGTCCAGTGCTGGTAGCTCAGGCCTGTAATCCTAGCTACTGATCACAGTTCAAAGCCAGCCTGGGCCAGTAGTTCATGAGGCCCCCATCTCCTAAATAACTAGTGCAAAATAGACTGGAGGTGTAGCTAGAGGAATAGAGCACCTGCTTTGCAAAGTGGGAAGCCCTGAGTTCAAACCCCTAGAGCCACCAAAACAAAACCCCCATCAAAACCCAAAAAACAATCGAGTTAGAATCTAGCATAGGTAAAAAGTTATGTGGTTTATGGTGTATGCATCATAGTACTAAGTATATTTAGCCATAATTTTTTTGAAAAATTTTTATGGTTTGGAGAATCATTCTTAATTTAGTGTTACTTTTTCAGCAGCATATAGACTTGTGTCTAAATGTAATCTTAACTATGTAAAGGTATTTATTTACTAAACAATTGAAATACCTGCTCAACACAGAGCTCGTAGAAAAATGTGCAGATGTGCACAATGATCTTGTTTGGGAGGTAGCATTATGGGTGAAGCTTGTTTTCTTAATCCTTCTGTATAATTTCAAATGATTTATGATGACCAGTATATATTAAATAGAAAGTATATTTTTATAGTGACATATTTCATGGCATTTCTTCTCAAACTCAAGGGAGTACACTGATGAGAGTGAATTCTGGATCTTCCATTTTCTTTAGGAGGAAGAGCTGAGAAAAGCCGTACTAGTGGTGTTTGCAAACAAGCAGGACATGGAGCAGGCGATGACTCCCTCAGAGATGGCCAATTCACTTGGCTTACCGGCCTTGAAGGATCGGAAATGGCAGATATTCAAAACATCAGCCACCAAAGGCACTGGCCTTGACGAGGCAATGGAATGGCAAGTACTTTGTTTCCGGTGTCTGTGTGCGTGTGTAGCTGTGCATGTACATGTGTAATTTTCCTTTAGGATGGAGCTTTCTTTCTGAGTACTTTTTTATTTATATTTATTTTTGAGACAGGGTCTCACTGTGTAGCCCAGGCTGGCCTGCAACTCTCAGTCCTCTTGTCTCAAGCTACTCAGCACTAGCTTAGGATAGAAATTTTCTTAGAGGGTGAAATTTAGGATATTTAGCAGTTTATCACATGCCTTTTCTTCCACTGGTCTTCATGTGCATCTGTCTTCTTTTCAACAATACCTACCTGATTTCACTTACTTAGATAAGCCATTTTTAGCCTTTCTCTTCCTTAGGGCCCCTCCAGTTCCTTCTCCTTCAGGATTTAGGGTAAGGCTCTTTTCTCAAGAGGCTTCCTGATGTATCTCTATTACCACTCCTTGTCAACCATGTAGCCTAGCAGTACCAGCAGACTAGAGATAGATATTTGGTCTTTTTTGATTATTTATGCAAAGCCACAGCTTATATGAATGACCTTCATGGAAACTGAGTTCATTACCTCATTCTTTTAATCTGTGGTAGCCTTCATCATTTTAAGTGCTTAGGAATCCACTTCCATTATAAAATTTGTATTATAAATATTCATGCTTTATACCTGAAAGTTAATTTTATGAAACTGTTCATTTTCTCTTTACAGGTTAGTTGAAACATTAAAAAGCAGACAGTAATTCAGTCACTTCAGCTCCTCTGAAACAAAGGCTCCATCACATCTCTCTCTGGAAACAGTCATATATGTTTCACATGCCTAAAGGTTAAAACCAAATGATCGTTGGCATACACTGAAAAGATTGCAGCATTTGTAATAAATACAGAAATAAGTATTTGGTTGGAGGGGTAACTTGATTCAATCACCTGAATGTTCTATATAGTATAAAATATTCCTTGCTTTCTTGTGCTAAGGTATACTATTTGTACGGAGTTCATATTCAAATACAATTCTATTAAAGAATACACTCTTATTGGGGAGTAAACCCTGCTATTTTTGAATTAGTGGTTGCATCTTGTTTGTATAAACACTAGCAGATATATTAACTGAGATTTTTTTCCCCTTAAAATGAATTAAGTCCTTACAAAGACTAGACTCAGTAGAGTAGGGTAGGAACATATATGTTCCTATATGTATTATATATATCGTCTTCATTTGCTTAACTGACTACTTTAAGCTGTTTCGTGTAAAAACTCTTGGTCACACGTATAAATATTATTTTGGTGGCTAACGTCACTGGCTTATCTGCAATTGTTATTTTGACAGTACATTATAGTTGTCAAAAGAATTTTACCTGTACTGACTTAATCAGTTTGTACAGGAACCCTGTGAAGTAAGTAGGACAGGTTGTAGTATTGTCACTTTCGGAATGTGACAAGGTTCTGATATGTTGGCTTGCCCATGGCCACCTTCTAGTGAGGTGGGCAAGATTTTTGGTCAGAATAAATTATTGTGTGTTCCTGAACATGCCAGCATTAACAACACAGGCAACCTAACTCTTAATTATGCTGAAGTAGTCAAAGAACATTCACAATAATGTCTATACAAACTATGTGTGTATGGTAAAAAGTCCCCAGTGGTTCTATCTGATGGAATTCACAACACAATAAAGAAAAAGTTCACATGAAAGGAAATAAAAGTTATTTTAAGAATCAGAAAAGATGTCCTTACTGTCTTTCATTCCATTTATCTACCTGCAATGAATTGATAATGTAAACTGGTTCAAAGTAAAAATCTTACTGGTTCTCTAGGAAAAAAGCTAAATTCTTGATTTTAAAAAATTACTGCCTTAGGCTATACATTTTTAAAAAAAATCATGTTCAGAGGAACTTTTCAAACTACCCAGGTTCACCAGCTACAGTATCAGTGGTGAATACAGACCTTGCACCTTAGCATTACTAAAATTGAGGGCAGTTTTTAAAATAAATTCAGTAACCAGCATTTTAAAAATCATGCTGATAAGGAAAGCCCTCAAGTCTCAGGAACAAGGGGCTCATTTCCTAGTCCTTACTGTCCTAGTTGTTGGCCTTTGGCCTCCTCCCCTCACATTTAAGGCCATTCTCTGTGTAGATTAATGCACCTCTCATTTCACCTGTGGGATTCTTATTGCTCATTTTAGGAACCATTCGTAATTTGGTCTCTGAAATCTTTTCTTGGAGACAGGCTTCCTCCAGGCACAGGTGTTCCCAGTGCAACCAATGCTGCTTAATTTTGATGGGCAAAGACTGTCTTTCATATTTGTCCCCAGTATTTGGGATGTTACATGGGCATTATGCCCCATCAGAACATATAGCTAGGAAAGTAGTACTTGGAATTTATAATTGGGTTCCCTTCTGTCAAGATGGCCCATGGCTGGGAAATACTAGACTAGTTCACTTGCACCCTAAGGTGCTTGGCTTGTATTAAAGGGATTAAATACTTCCCCATAGTTCAGGAACACTGCACAAGATACAAGTAGGGAAAGAGTGAGCCTGGCAGGCAAATGCTGCCTGGGGTGCAGCCCTTGCCATCTTGAATCTGATCCTGATTCCTCCCAGGAGTAAATTTTTGATTTTTTTTTCAAAATTTGAATATTGTTTTCTATGAGAAGCCTGGTAAGAGGAAAAAGACCAAATTTGATCAGAACATGAGTTCTAGGCATAAATGGCTACTCCTTCAAGTTTCATTTGTGTAAAATGAGATCTGGACAGGCCACACCAAAGGTTTCCTTCAGTTCTACCGATGTACCAGCTATGGTTGGTAGTTGTGCTCTGTCGAGATCTCACTAAAAAACAAGACATTGAGAGTGGTGGAATTACTCTATTATCTCAAGTACCTGACAGGCACTTTAAACTGGAAAAGCAAGCTTTGAGGGCAGGGACTATGTCACCGTTAGCATCCCTTGTTCTTATTAAGAACAAAGCTGTGTTTGGCATTCCTGGTATGTTTTTTCCTGATGTTTATCTTAGTATTTGTTTTTTATTTTTAAATTTTCATGAAAACAATACATGTACTTGAAGTCACTTAGAATTAAGATCAGCCTTCAAAGTTGCCCCATGCTTATCATTTTGGCACATTACAAACACTTAGGAGGGTGAGATGGGGTCTTGTGAACATTTTGCCCAGGATGGCCTTGAACTATAATTTTCTTCATCTCAGGGCCTCCCAAGTAGCTAGGACTACAGGTGTAAGCAATCGGTGCCTCTAGCCCTTTTTGCTTTAGTTACTTTTCAGACAGCATCTTGCACTCTTGCCTGGGACCTGCCTTGGACTGCAGTCCTAGCTCTGCCTCCACCACAGGTGTGCACCACCACAACCCACTTGTTCTTTTACATAGGGTCTTGTAACTTTTTTGCCTGAGCTGGCCTCAAACTGGCCATCACACCTGGCCTTATAAGAAGTTCTTAATACTAATGAAGTAGAGTTCATCGTGTTTCCTCCATTGATAGCACTTTTGTCCTTTGGTTTCTATCCTATCATTTTCTAGGAATGTCATGGCCAGCATGGCTTATTATCTTTAAAGTTTTAGAATGCGCTGCATTAGGTTAACATGAAGAACTCTTGGGGTTTTGCTCCAATATGCATATAACCAATCAGATCAACTTGGGAAGAACTAACATCTTGTGATACTTCATTTTCCTATCCATTAACATGGCTGTGTCTCTCTGTTTGCACAGATCCTTCTTAATGGCTTTTGATAGTTTTGTATATTCCCCATAAAGGTATTGCAAATATTGTTTCATTTATTCCTAACACATGCTTCCCCCCCATTTTAAACTACCTTTTTGTTAAAAAATTATGCTTTAAACTCATCACTTAGTATCACATGCTCTGTAGACAATGAAGATACAGCATTAAACATTTTAATTAAAAAAATACAAGCATGATTACATTAAACTATATATTACACAATCTGGGCCAAAGTTTGACTTAAATACAATCTACTGTGAGTCCAGTCTGGTAGAATACACCAGAAAGTTCACGCTTTGGAGCCAGTTGAGACAATCAGCACAGGAAGACCTTACTCCACTATTGCTAAATCTTTCAGGCTGTGGGTTTTTTGTCTCTTGGCCTTATAGCCGGGACGCAGGAATGCTATCTTTCTCTTCTTCGCTTCACTTTTATTTTTATGCTTCTTCAACTTTTTCTTGGCAGCAATATCAGGATTAGTTACAAACTTGAAGAGAGAGAGAGAATAGAAATTTATATTACTTTTAAAGTGCATGTTAAATCAATCCAAATCAAATGCAGGAAATGTGCTATTTTATCTGTCTTTAACATGAATGTAATACATGCCCATTAATGAAAATACAGAGCCCCAGCTATAAATCCTTCCCTAGGTGTGACACACACACACACATGCACACCCCTAGTTAAAAATAGTTAAATACAATGAATAAGCTATAGTCTCAGACAGCAAACTCACCTCCAGAGCCTTCCTCTTTTTCCGGCGTGCCCTTTTCTCACTAGCCTGCTTCTGTACAGAGGCAAAGGCTAATGAGAAACTCTCAAGGCCAACCAGCTTTTTAAGTAATTCTATGATTTCCTGGGATAGATTCTTCAGCAGAGGATCTGGTCACAGGCAGAGAATAATGATCAGAGACAAAGTCAACAATGTATAACGTCTAAACTGTAGCATTACTGTTACTGCTGCAATGTTAAACAAGAATCCAAAACTGGCCACCGAGTTTCTGAGATGTGAGGAAGAGCAGAAGGGCTGAACACTGAACATACAGGCCATTACCTCAGCAAGGATGCAACAAGAGACCAGAGACCATGAGGCCTACTTAGCCAGAACCTGGCTCTCAAGACAATCAAAGGATTTTGAGGACTTGACAGAAACATTTTGTGAACTGGCTCAGCTCTGTGCAGATGTAGGGTGAGATTAAGTTGCTTTTTCAGCCCTTCTTTAATCCATGGGTCACAGAAGTAACCTTTTTTGGGGATCAGAGACCCTGAGAAGCTAATGAGATGCTGTGTCCTCCCCTACTCTTTCCTTTTCCTTCTCCCTGAAATGCAAACAACCCGCAGATTTTCTGTGTTTAGTTTCAGGAGAGCTCCAGACTCGAACCTGGCTATCAGCATCTCCAACCTTCACTATGGCCTTTTCCACTCTTAAGAGGAGGAAACTTTCTCTTAAGGTTGTAGGACTTAAAAACTCCTGCACTGGTGGCTCCTGCCTATAATCCTAGCTACTTGGGAGGCTAGGATGGGGAGAATTGGGGTTTGAGGCCAGCACAGACAAATAGTTTGTGAGACCCCAACTCCAAAATAGACAGGAGGCATGGCTCAAGCGGTACAGTGCCTGCTTTGCAAGTGTAAAACCCTGAGTTCAGACGCAGCTGACCAAAAAAAAAAAAAAAAAAAAAAAAAAAAAA